CGTAACACTACTTTTATCTGTACTTCTGTCGTGTAGTTTTACACCTGACCAATACTCTTTAATTCTTAACAGACACAAATATACATATGAGTTAAACATACACTTCAGGAGTTATGGTGAAATCTGATAACAGGTGTTTAAGATGGAATACTTTCTATTTGCAATTGTTGGCTATGCAAATAAAAACTTTTAATAGTGCAAATGTTTTAATTTATTATGCCTCAATAACAATTTAAAATGAAAATATTAAGTATTTTATCTTAGAACATGAAGATTTATTAATCATATATATATATATAAAGTTTCTAATTACTGCTTTTGTGATTTGACACGTGATTGTAATAAAACTCTCCTATTCCATTTTATAAACAACGAAACATACTATTATCGAGTTCTGTGTGTAATATTCACTTGTATCCATAACATTCACCCCACTTATTTGTATTTTTCATGGTTTTTAGCCATCTTTTCCCCTATGTTATCATTAACTTCATCCTTAATTCTCTGCTTTTCTGGTGCTTTTGTTTTTCGTTTAGCTTTCCTATTCGGAATCACCTTTCCTGTATTTCCTGCCAAATATCTCATATGTCAATTTGTTTTTTCAACTGATTGAGCACATTACAATATGCTCAGTTTACAATATCTTGTTATAAGTTCAGTCTCAGACTAGAAACATATGATCGCAATGAACGCCCGCTATACAGCAATCAGTTATGATGTATTTCAAGAATATGACACTTTTATATTCAAATGGCTTCAGTAAAAATGAAGTGGAGCCTTCGAGTGAAGTTATCTTCACTATGATCAGAATGTTGGCACACAAATTAATTAAGAATTCATACAATAGTGGCATGGATTTGGTATGGTAAAGATTTCATAACTTTCTGACACAATCTAGCTTTCATTTTCTGGAGAGGAAAATATAAGTTAACCTCTGAATTGAGAATAACAGCATGGACTGATTGTCATATGCTATAAACTACATGAGAAAGTTAAAACCTTCTGTTCAAGTCACAGTTATGACTGTATCATCATCTCATGACAGTTGAATGTCGTAATCCCGTTCACATAATTACATTCAAGCAGCAGTCATTAACAACACAAAATACCATCAAAATTAGATCCAGTGATAGTTTGCAGCTATTTTGGGGGGTTATAATTAGTAATAGTATACTACTTATAAACACACACCTCTGACATACAAAAACGGGTCAGAGGGGACTTTTCTTACAAAAATTTATAAGTAAAAATTTTCTATTTTGAAAACAAATTTTAACTCTTGTAACGAATTTGTTGTTATATATTTATTTTAATGTTTACGTTTGTATGGATTGAGTTTATATTTAAAAACATGGCTACCTTATAGTGTTAGATGTGTATTGCGAAACTCCCGCCTATTCTCCAAAGTTGTAGAAGATTCTCGAGAGCAAGAATCAAAAGTATAAGTGTGTACGTGAACGCTTTAATTTGCATTGTTGCGCAATCTGAATTTTCTAGAAAATCTTCTCACGCCTATAAATATAACCAAATATAGAATCAGTGTGCTATAAACTTCGGGAGCTATAACTGTGATTTTTATAATGCTTATCAATCGGAAACTTATGATATTTGACCACGAATATTTATAAATTTCGAACGTTACAAATCGTTTAACTTCAGTGGATTCTCATTGGACATTAATATTTTTACGAAACATATAAATTCATCGTGGAGAGCTTAGCGTGTGTGGCAAATGACAAAGCTAGCCAGCTTCACAGCGAATCGTATCTACGTCAACTCGTAATTAACTCGCTCATCGTAAACCCTCGATAAGGTATCAAGGAAATTCCAGACTATAAAAAAAAAACTTTATATTGTTTGTAAGTCTGTGAAACTTTGTTTATAAATCATTGTTTGTAATAACGATTTGTAATTAACTGTTATTGTGAATTGTATTGTTGTTGTATATTATAACGTATTTGTGTTAAAACGAAACGGTGTGTATCATTCTTGTTGGCAAATATCATAAATT